CTCATGAAGAGGTGTAACCTCATGAAGAGTTATAACCTCATGAAGAGGTGTAACCCCCTCATGAAGAGTTGTAACCTTATGAAGAGATGTAACCTCATGAAGAAGTGTAACCCCATCATGAAGAGGTGTAACATTTCTCCACTTCCCTTCATATTATAAGTCAAACATGAAGAGAGTGTGATCCACTTGGGTGTTCCCTCATACTAGGGATGCACCCTCATGTCTACACCATTAAACGATGATATTTTTTAACTTGGTGTAGAGCAATCACCATTAATGAATCCAAAAAGTTCCTAATTCTCAATTCCTAATTCTCAATGAGATAGCATTTGGGTTTCCCATAATAGACAATTATTTTGTGTTAGTTTAATAGACATAAAATTTCCTATATTAAGGGTGGAGGGATAAGGACATTTATTTGAAGAGGATGAGTTATCCATTGGGATAAGAGGTATTTGAGGGGATAAGAGGTATGTGTCACGGAAAATGGTGAAATAATAAAAATGAAAAATGAAAAGAAGAGAGAGATTTCTAAACATTTTAGATGAAACTTCTAGAGAGAGGGGGAATAGGCTTTTCGATTGCACAATTTGAGCTTCTCGAATGTGGGGGTTTAAGTACTCAGGGGCAATGAGACGGTTTGCAAGAGATAGAAGGAGACAATGCTATCAGAAAGCACCATGATTGGTTTGATGGATACTATCAGAAAATCACCATGATTGGTTTGATAGATATAATGGACATGAGAGATAGTGGGTTTTGATGGGTATAAAGGTGTGAAAGAGTAGTGAAGAAAATAAAATAAAATAAAAAACAATAATAAAGGGCTTTGACAAATATGAGAGAGATGCAAACCTAGGATGGACATATGGAGGTATTGGACAAGGATGGATGGGTTTCTTGATCTTCAAGTTTATGGAAAATGATTGATGATTCCCTTATCGATTTTGCAAAGTTCAGTGTTGTTGAGTATTAAAGAGCTCTCTTCTTAATGTTGCAACACTAACCATCTAGAAATAAATAACCATAAAGAAGGAGGGTTTTTTGCATGCATTGGATTGAGAGAAACTACTACAAGATGGAAGATTGAGAGGATCGGTGATCACTCATATACCATAAAGAATTCTAAAGAGAGAAAGGAATTTTTTAGAAGATAATTGTGCCCCACACAATTTCTTGTGATGGTTATTTCATTGTATATATAATGATAATACAATGGAGTAGTATGCAATTTCTTATTTTGGTACATGTAATATACATTTTCCTACTTGTCTTACATTCTACAATGACAATTTCTATTACAACTCCCATAACACTCCCCCTCAAACTCAAGATGCTTGAAAGACAGTAGTTGGAGTTTGCATAATAAGATTCCAAAACGAGTAGTTGTATCTTCAGCTGCACAATGCAGACCAATAGAAGTAATGGTTGTCATGCTCAGATTGTTTGATCAAAGCATGAAATGAGAGGTCGGGATGCAACTTGGAAATGAAAATTAACAGATCTGTGTGGCTTTGATTGTGAGATACTTACTAGAATCAGAGCTTGAAATGGTTGGCTTTGATTGTGAGATGCTTAATAGAATCAGAGCTTGAAATGGTGAGATTCAAGACTGGTGAGCAAACCTCAAAAACATAAGGCAACAACAATCAGGCTCGAGCTACGACTGATAATCTAGCCTCATAAATAAAAGGAAAACACAAAGCGCACCAGAGCAACAATAGATCAACAAACTTCAGCAATAGACAAAGAACTTTAGATCTTCACCAAAGACAGAAAAACAGTCAAGAACATAATGGATCAATCTCATATAAAAACAGAGACGAACAATCAATAGCAGAAGAATAGACTCGTATAAAGAAACAAAATAAAAAAAGGTGAAGATGATCTCTGGCTTTGATACCATGTTAGAATCTCAGGTTTCTCTGAAGATAACTTTGTGTCTTATATAGACAAACTTGTCTTATATAGACAAATAACATATGATACGAATGTAAGGAAATCATAGATACCTATACTATATTAACACTGACTATAAAATATAGGATATTGCACCTACCCTTCCAATACATATTGATTATAATATACGCATTTCGTACTAACCATGTAGACAATATACACTTTCTCCCTCATTCTTCACAAAATATCACTTTCTCCCTCGTTCTTTACAAAAAATCACAAAATAAATAATAATTTTTTTTGTAAAAGTGTTGTATTAAAATTAATATAAAATAGACACTTAGACAAGAAAAAGTGTCTCAAAACTTAGGTATTTTTGCAAAATATTGAAGGTCTGTAATGCACTACCCTTATTTTTAAAATAAAAAAAAATTAAAAATATATTTACAACTTTTAATACCTTTTTGAATTTTTTTAAGGCCGGATAGATCGATCTTGAAGATCCACTGTTCCAAACCGCCAATCCACCGATCTAGATCACCAATCTGTTTTTTTTTAATATTGAGCAAAACAATAGTTCCATAGTACTACCAAAAAGATAGATGGCTAGGATTATTAAAATAATGATTAGAGTTTGTATTATATTACGTGTAAAATTTTTTTTTTGACGAAGAAGAAGGTAATCTTTCCGTTGCCGGGAATTACGTGTAAAATATTTATTTTATTTAATCATAGTCCGTCCATTGTAGTACACTCTAGTAAACATGGAGACATGATATGCTTGTGGAAAGTAATTTGCTTCCTCTCACTTACTAGTAATAACTGTATAATTGTATTACAATCTCTCTTAAATTCTATATTATAATACAATTTCTCAAAAATCCTAATGCTAATGGGAGATTCCATGTGGAATAAGTCACACGATTAGAATAAGTGACAATCATTACAAACGAGAGATTTGCCATGATCCGTTCCTTGCCGTCATCACCAAACCCTAGAGGGCCAAGGCAAAAAGCAAAAGACATGTCGTATCTAATTGAGAGTAAGGAAGATGTATGCATCAAAGAGAACGAAATATAACAAAAAATAAGTAGAAGCTAATATAGAGCAAAAATAGCTTGGGCGTGCCCCCTTTAGGGTTTCCTAACTTCTATAACATCAAAACCCTAATTAATGTGAGAGAAATAGAGAGTGAGGGGCGTGCATGCATTGAGAGAGGTTATTATGCTATTGGATGGAGAATCCTTTTGGATATGGAAACAATCTAATGCATATCTTTTTCTGTTTGGAATTTGAGTTGGAATAAGTACCCATTTTAAGAAATTTGAAATAAAAAAATAAGGGAAAAATGTATCCTATTTCTCAAATTAAGATAGGGAAACAATCTCTATCTTCCTAAAATTTCTACTTTCTTTCGCTCTTCCAAAAATCTCTAATAATCATGCAAACAATCTTAGATATGTATGCACTCTCCCAAAAATCTCTAATAATCATGCAAACAATCTTATATATGTATGCATATCTTTTTCTCTCATGAATTTGAGTTGGGATATATGCATATATTTCTCTCTCATGAATGAGATAGGTACTCGGGAAGTTTAAACTAAAAAGTCGAAAAAAAATATCTTATTTCTCAAATTAAGATGGGAAACAATCTCTCTCTCCTTATAATTTATACTCTCTCTTCCTAAAATCTCTCTCTCTCTCTCATATTCATATGTAGGTAAATATTGGAGTCATATCTATATAATATGTCTCTCTTATTCTAATATTCATGTCTATCTATTCGTGTTTATAATTATATGTGCCATAGCTCCTCCTTATTCTAAAAGTAGATATTTTATTCTCTACCCCTCTGTCTCACATCTCTCTTCTCTCTCCTTTAAAGATGTCTCTTACCTCTCTACTCCACGAACTCTCTCTCTCCTCTCTCATTTGAAGTTAGGGATTAAGCACCCTAGGTTTTTTTTAATTTAGTGGTTACATGCCTTATATACTCTAGAATTAGGCCACTTATTTTTGACCTCAACCTCATTCCTCTTGAGTAGAATCCTGACATCGTTGAAGGATGAAGTTTCTATAACGCCTAGGCTTCATGAAAACAAGATAAATCATCATCTCAAAATCCTCATCTGGAAAGCACTTTGAGTAATGAAAATCTCCATGACGGCTCTAAAAGCAATTTCTAACCACCTCAAAAAACATATATATTTTTACGGTAAAATGGATGGTTTAGATAATTTGTTACAATATATTCTATTTTTAGAGCTTTACATGTTATTTTTTCTTCACAACCATGATGTTCAAGCTAAATGATCAATGTAAAGGTTTTATGTTCCAGATAAAAATTAAGAAAATTTAAAATTGTAATTTTATTATTTTTTTAAGGGATAAGAAGGGGAGAGAAGATTTGGTGGTGAGTTTTTCTTTTATTGGTTAAAGAGTTGGATGGTAGGATAAGTTAGACTTAGTTTTAAAGAGATGAATTAGGCATGATTGAGTTTTCACGATATACACTTGGAGTACATGGGCCTTATTTAAAGAAGTTCTAATTCTATGGACTTAAAATCTAGGAAGAGACTTTTATGGATGATCTATAGAGTTTCACCTGATATATAAAATAGGGAGATGAACCTGGTATAAAAAATGGTGATATATAAAATATGGAGATGAACCTGAAATAAAAAATAGAGAGATGAAGAGAGAGAAAATATAGAGCTTGTGAAAGTCCATTAAAGGTCGATAGATAAAGATGTATTTTTTTAGTTATTTATTTATTTTTTTTAGTTTATTTAAAGGGAGATGTCCCTTATTTGTAAAGATCATGAGAATTTAGTAAATTTGATGTTGTGAAAAGCTTGTTTTTGGAGTAGATTTTTTTGCTGATTTTGAGGGAATATATATTCTTTCAATTTTTTTTTATTATTTCAATTTTATTTTCTCGTATTAGAGAAAAAAAAAAAAAAATCTCCGCATCATTTTTTTTTCCAACGCGTCAATTGATGAGCACTTGAGGCGAGGTTTAACTTATTTTGATAGGGCTGCAACCCTATTAAACCGTTTTCCTTAATATATAAAGTTTTGCCTTGTATAAATATTTCCAAAAGTTTTGCCTTGTATAAAGTTTTGCCTTGTATAAATTTTTTCTCTCTCTGGTTTATCCGTTATTGCATACAGTACACCACACCGCTCCTTCTCAAAAGGAGCCTCGCCCCCGTGCGAAAAGCAGCGGCCCTCTTATTTTTCTGGATTTCTGAGGCTTCAATTTTAAGCAGACATTCTCTCTCTGGAGTCCTTATTTACTCAATTTATTGCTGGTGAGTTTTTTTATTTTTTTGCCTTTTTCATGGAGTTCATTCTTTTTTTTGCTGTTCTTTGTTCTGGCATTGATTGTGGAGTCTTCAAAATAAGATTTTTCCATTCCTTAGGATGAATTAAGGTGTATCATGCAATTGTTCTTGGAATGTATAGGTTATTCTAGCCTTCTTTTTCTCTCTGTAAATTGAGCATTAGTTCTAGGCAAATATTCCCACTTCTATGATGTTATTGAGTTTTATTATTGTGACCTCGCTTTCTCTCTCTCTTTCTCTCGAATTTAACTTTCTTTTTCCTGCAATTATACTGCTTTTAGTTGTGGAAATTATTCTCCCTCTCTCTGGAATTTAACCATTGTATTGGGTTTGTATTTCCTGCAATTATAAGGCTTTTGGTTGTGGAAATTACTTCCTCTCTCAGGACTAACTTTTATTGGGTAAATATTTCCTGCAATTATAAGCTTTTGGGGTGTAGAATCTCTCTCTCTCTCTTGGTGGTGATCTTTCTAGGTTTTAAGGTTAAACAACATGGCTCTTATCATCATCATCATATTAAATGTTATGAGCTCCATAAAATGCACACAGGTGTGAATGCTTTGTTGAACATTTGATTAATTCTGGTAGCTTCCATTTTGCTGCTTTTATTATTTTATATCATCATTATCCGTTACTCTATCTGTGGTTATAGATTTATAAACCTGTGCTTAGTTGGCTTTTGGACTAATTTAAAATTGGGGATTCTTCTAAGTTATTGGAAGTTACTCAATCTTTTAGGCCTTTCGTCTCTCTCTCTCTCTGTCACAACCTTCTTCTTTTCCTTCTTCTCTACTCCCTCTTTCTTCTTCTGCTTTTTCCCTTGCCTTCTCCTTCTTCTTGGTGTGTTGGGTTTTTCTGATCTTTCCTGCTGTTTTAACTTTTTGTGCAAGAATGGGTCAGTTACCCGTTTGGTGATGTTTCTCCTTGGATTATTGTCTGATGAATTCTGTTAGTCGAGTTTTGATGGGTGGGAACTCAAACTAGAGACGATGGCATTGTTAACCCACCCGACACAGGTACAATTCAATTTTCTATTGATAAGGCACTTGATAACATCTGAATTAATTTTTTGTTAGTTTATTTTCCTTTCCAAAGATCTTGTTTTGTCTTCATGCTGATAAAAATAGCTTGAGCTTTTAATCTCATTAACTTGTTCAGCTTATGTGTCATCTCTTTTCAGAATATAATTGTCATTTTCAAAATAAGAAATGTTCTCCTGTCATGCCATTAACATGTGTTTCTAATTGATGATAGGGCTCTTCTATTATTAATTGTTAAAGTTGGTTTGTTTACTATAATCGATTATAATGCTGGCCATGCGTTTCAGGGTTCTTGTGCAGCATCTTCCTTGAGACTTAAACCATGGACCAAAGCAGTAAAAGCAAAGCCTACTTTATCTTTTTGTAGGATTGGGAGAATTGATAGGTGCAATTTGCCAAAGAATCGTCTTCATCTAAGGTATGATGGAATATCTTGTATTTGCCGTACATGGTTGTGACATTGTCTTCAATTTTCAGTGCTTTTGTAAGCTCGCTTAAGTCAGATTCATTTTATGTTTTCTATTCATAGCGTTTATGTTTTCTATTCATAGCATTCTAGTCCCTGGAGTTCATAAATGCACTTAGAGAGTAAGACTTCAGTTTTGGTTTGCAGTTATGCTTGTTTCTTTTGATTAGGATATTCTTGTGTCTCTGTTTCTCTTTTCTTTTAATCACGAGTAGCTATTTTCCAAGGTGAAGTGGTTTATATCACGTGCATATAAGAATTATTAGTGATTTTGCTTAACCTATGTAAATGGGCTTATTAAATCTTAGTCTAGACTATTGAACACTGTCACTTGAAAATGAGAGGCTTGTTGATTGTAAAGAGTTTGAAATATAGGCTTTGGATGTTTTTACACTATGGGGATATCTCTATATTGCTCACTGTTCAAAAAAGTTGTATAGATGGGCTTCGACCAGCTGATCAGACCAGAATACAGCTTGACGAGTGCTTCACTTTTATTAATTCTAAAGTTTAATCATAAAAAAATGAAAAAGAAAAGGGGAATACTATATGGCATTCATGCCTTTTTTTAAGTTTATATACATTAATGCCATGCATGCTTATTAATGGGCTTAAAATATATAAGTGAATTGGCTTGGCTTGATTGCTATTATGAGCCACCTCACAAGAGGTTACTTTTCAAACAAGTGTTTGCTCATAACATACAGGGTTTATTAGTTTGGAGATGATTACTCATCATTTCTAGTTTGTTTCTTTGTGATGGTATGTAATTTGGTATGTTCCATTAATAAAATTGTTACGTCTCTTAAGAAAAATGGAGAAATTGTACTTCATCATAAGTCTTCTCTTTATTTGATAAAATTAATTATACTCAAAGGGCTATTTTACCCCAATCATCTTTAATATCATTGTTAACCTCCACAAGTGAGACTTGCGTTGTGTTTTCTATTTGTTTCCTTCTGTAATAATCCAAGAGATTTTGCCCCTCAAGTGGTAGTGACTGAGTTGTTTTTTTCTTGATACAAAAGTACCACCTCATGCAAGAATCACCAACATTAATCCTCATGTAGGTTCCATTCCTTACAGAAATTCTAAGCATGTGCAAAACACAATCTCCCCAACCAGGTGCATGCCTCAGTGGACAAGAATACTTTGGCATCTCCATATTGGTTGTTACTCTCAATACCTCCCAAAAAATGGCGTGTGGTTCTACCTCACGGGGCACTAGTCTACATTGTGGATAAACTCTAGCTATAACGTGACTGGAAATATGGAGCTTACATGATAAGGATAATTTCCAATACCTCTTACTTGAAAGAATTGTGGTTATATTAACTGAAGAAATTTCTTGAATTTTTCATTTATTTTGTGCCTTCACTAATAGTTCATTGGGATTAAATAGAATTGCTCCCTTGTGATGACCAAACAACAAAGACTTCACAATGTCAAATTTCAGGAGGCATGTCGAGAAATGTAACCTCAACGACAGTGTTTCAAAAAGCACTAGGCGTGTGCCTGGAACCTGGGCTGCCCAATAGAAAGAAAAATGTCTCTATAATCTCTAACAGTATAAGTATAATTTTATAAAACAAATATAACTATATAAAACATAAGAATTAGGGATTTATGACACATCAAAATTCAAAAGTATACTATACAATACATAGGAGCACACACTCCATAAGTCCATAACCATAAGTCCATATCCAATTATGAATTATCCATAGTCTATGCTGCACATGGTGTCCAAAAGATTCTAGGGTAAGCTATGCGCAACAAATTAGCAGCCACAACATTAGGAGCAGCATTGTCTGTGACAGTTTGTATAACAAGTTGCTCCCCAACCTTCTTGATTCCCTTCTCTATAACTTGGAATATGTTATGGGCATCATGGCCATGATCAAAGGCATCAATAGACCTAAAAAAAAAGTCCCTAAAGGACAATTCACTAGCAAATTCATTTGACTTCTTCTCTGCCTATCGCTCCAAGCATCGGTCATAATAGAAACTCCATAATGAGCCTATGCATCCTTCTGAACTTCAACAACATCCTTCATGAAACTCACCACTTTTTTCAAAAGAGACTCTGAATGCTCATATGGGGTTGGGGGTTTCATCCCAGGCCCAAATTGGCCAATTGCCTCTACCAAGGTGTTGAAGCTTCTTATGTGAGCGGTATTGAAAGGATTGCTCGTCTCATAAAACCATGTAGCAACATAAAAAGCAACTCTATCTCTCTCTTCCTTTTTTATTCTATTTTCAATGGTGGTTTGCTTATTTGTTTTCTATCTTACAACCTCAGAGTCAGGCTGGGGCAAAAAACAATATAGGGCCTCTAACCCAAGGCTTTGTGAGCCCCGAACTCCCAGATGCAATTTCAACTCACTTTCCCTTCCCCCTGATAATGGATTGTTGTTGTTCTACCTCTTGACATCCCTCCCCATCCTCATCACTGTTATCATCATCAGAACTGACTCGAACCCCAGACTTAATCTCTACTATGGATGCATATCTCTCATCTTTTTTTATTTTTACAAGACTCAGAAAATTGTTTATCTCATCTATAACATCAGGAGCTTTTTTACATGGGCAACATCCCCTAGATACTGGTAAGATTTTTTTGGAACCGGTTTATGCCCCTTTTTGTATCCTTTTCACCAAACTTGCATTTTATGCAATTTTTATCTGAAGGATTCGGGTTGTAGCTATATTTCCAACCTGGATCACCACTTCGATTAGATCTCGAAGAAGGCATCTCAAAATAATATACTTATATAAGCAATAAAAAAAAATCACTAACTTTGAGTTTGTCCACTCTAGAGTTGGCTTCTTGCCAGGTATGCTGAAAGGAGATGTGAATATGCTTGCAAAGAAAGGAAATATGCTAAAAAATGTACTTGAGGCACGATGGGCAGGTAGAAGCACTTGAGTCTCATGCTATAATTTGTTAGGTACTCCTATGACCAAGGATTCCTTGAATCCCAGTTATATCGCTTGATACCCTCTATGAGTGCTACCGCTTCTGTCATGGTCACATCAGCATGACCAATTTGGCCAGAGTACAAGAGGAGTTTTACTGTTGTGATCTTTGGATATGTCCCCAAACCCTGCGGGCCCCTGGTTGCATATCTGAATGCCAAGATGTTTTTTCAACTATTGAGAAAGTCAGAGGTTGAGGGGGCCTCTCAGACTTTTGTGATTATGGGCCCAAAGGATCGTCATTCTTTGATACGGTCTAATAGGGCCTTGAAATCTCCCTACTGTCAAATATTTTGGCATTCCTTTCAGTCCAAGGAGTCGAAATGGTTGCTGTCAGCGATCCTTGCCACTGATAATACCTGCTGGGTAAGGAGGTGACTAGAGGCTTGAAAGAGTTGAGGAACTAAGTGGGGGTAATCCAATGCCATCCAAAGCTTTGAAGCAGTTCGGACAATAGAGTTGTGCCACCTTGCAATGCAGGAATAGATGGGCATTAGTTTCCTCTGCTGATTTGCACATAAAGCACCTGTTAAGTATTGTAGTGGGAAAGGGGAGGGGTTGGCGAAGGATGCCTTAAAAAGAGGTGACCAAGAAGAAACCCAAGGCAGATGGTGACCAAATGATACGATCTGGTTCATATATGGGGAGGCAAGTGTTTTGGACAAGAGCCGATGGAGAGGTGAGGTCAGCAAGCACGTGGTCCCGAAGTGGCCTTCTAAAATGTGCTCTAGACTCTAGTATTCCCTGTTGTCTTGAAGAAGTGTCTAATGGTAGCCTAAACAATTCTCCTATGCAAATACATGCCAAGATTTGACCCTTCTTCCTTCCCTTGCAATAAACCTGATATTGTGCTTAAAATGATTGGGGCTAGAAGATATGGACAGCCAAACCCCCGAGGGTCTAGTGGTTGTGTGGGAAGAGGGGAGCCACTTCCAGGGATTGATGTGATATATTTGCCTCAGGAATGACTGCCAGAGGTGGTTGGGTTGAGTGGCAAAATGCAGCCACCACTTTCCCAATATGCCTAAGTTGCAGGGTCTGAGGTTTCTGCTGCGAACCCCTTTTTGTTTTAGCAAGTGACGGTATTCCAGGCCACCACGTGTATATGATGACGCTCATCTGAACCCGATCACAAGAAATCCCTCATTAATTTCTCTAGGTGTTGGGCTATGGAGGTAAGCATTTTGAAAAGGGACATTTGGTTCACCAGAAGGTTAGATAGGGTGACCTTGATGAGGCTTATGTGACCGGCTCAGGAGACAGCCCTTCCAAGCCACGAGTTTGAGATCAAACCTTTCTTCATTGGGGCCTGGTACTGCTTGCTGGGCTTACTAGTGCACAAAGGAAGGCCAAGACTAAGGACGATTTGGTGGTAGAAGTGACCCCTATAAGTTCAGGTTTAGCGAGGTTTACTTTGAAACCAGTAGCTACCTCTAGGCATTTGAGAAACAGCCATAGGGTGTCCGTCTGCTGTTGTATGACAACACAGAAGATGAGGGTGTTATCGGAATTTGTAGGTGCGAAATCTGTTATTTGTTGCTTGAGACTTTGAAGCCCTCGAGGAGGCCATTTTGGTAAAGCCTTTCTATGGACCTACTGAAGACCTCAACTGCTAGTGCGAATAAAACAGAGGACGGGGCTCACCTTGGCGTAGGCACCTGGAGGATGGGGAGGAGCCCTTGGAGACTCCATTGATACAGACAGAGAAGCAGGGACCAAGATGCAACCTTTGATCCACTGCCTCCATTTGGGCCCGAAGCCCATTTTGGACATGACCTTGTCCAATATAGCCCAGCCCGCATGATCGTAGGCATTCTCGAAGTCAAGCTTGAACCCCACACCTTGATTTTTAGCTATATGTCTTGAGTGTATGCACTCGTGCACTATTGGTGCTCCGTCAAGGATCTGCCTATCTTAAATGAATACCCCTTGGTTGGGTGAGATGACCTAATTGAGAACCTCTTTCAGCTGGG